AGATAGACTTATTTCTGGATTTTCTATTCTATTCCATTGGTGTACGTATGTACCAGATTGATTTGACTACTGTGATTGTGTAATAGATTTTGAGATTAGGCAATGAGCGACCTACTACATTTTTCTTTTCTTCGGTAGTTCATGACATGTCTTAGGTCTCTTTTCTTTCCATATAAAGTTTGTGTTAAATTTTTCTGTCTCTTTAAAGAATGGTGCTACTATCTGGATCAGAATTGCACTATATTTATAGATTTCTTTGGTTGTATTATTTTCACAATGTCAAATCTTCCTATCTATGAACATAACACATTCCAGTTCTGTAGGTCTTATTTAGGTTCTTGTAGTAGTGTTTTGTAATTTCCTTCATGTAAGTCTTTTCTCTGGTTAAGTTCATTCCTATGCATTTCATCTTTTGAATGCCTGTTGTGAATGGTATTAGTTCCTTGATTTCCTTTTCGGAGTTCTCTTTTTAATTATAGAGGCATCTGATTGATTTTTAAATGTTGATCTTGTACCCTTCCACGTTGCTGAAATTTTCAATTATTTCCAATCGTTTTCTTGTCAAATCTTGAGGTTTTCTCCACACAGAACCATATTTTCTACAGACAGTCTTACTCTATACAGGTCCATGGGGGTGACTTTTGTTTCGTTTTGCTGTCTACTACCTAGAGCCAAGACTTTGAGGATAAAAGGCGCCCTCGTCTGGGTTTTGTTCTGAAGTAGTTTGACTGGCGGTTGGTTTTGCATATATAGCCTTTATTGTGTTGAGTAGTTTCCTTTCTGTCTCTGTTTCGTTGAGTGTTTGTATCAGGCATACCAGGTCGGATTTTGTCAAATGTTTTTTCTACATCAATTGACATGATCATGCAGCTATTTTCCTTTTTAATTTAGATGGTAGATTACAACAATTTTTTCCGAATGTTTAAGCACATTTGGAAACCTGGTACTAATCTCACTTGTTTACTATGATTATTTTCTTGGATTCTATTGGCTAGGATTTTGCTGAGAATTTTTGCATCTAGGTTGATGAGCGATATTGGCCTATGGTTTTCTTTTTTTTCAGTGATGTTTCCGCCTGGTATTGGTATCATGGTTTTACTTGTTTCATAAAGTGAAAACCCCGAGGTTTTCACCCTTTTCTAGGTTCCGGACTAGTTTGAGTAGAAGTCAACTCTTCTCTGAAGGTTTGGTAGGATTTCCTGGTGAAGCTTTCTGGTCTTGGACTTTTTTTCTTTTGAGAAATGTTTAATGACCTCATATATTTCTTCTTTTGTTAAGGATCTGTTAAGGTTTTCTACATTAGTCTGTGCTAGTTTACTTAGGTAGTCTATTTCTAGAAAGATATACATTTCTCTTAGGTTTTCAAATTTGTTAGAGTACCGTCCTTCATAGTATTGCTATTGCCTTTTTAATTTCACTTGGGATTTCTATCATTTTCTTTAAAAAAAAATCATTTTATTGGGGGCTTGTACAACTCTTATCACAATCCATCCATCCATCCATCGTGTCAAGCACATTTGTACATTTGTTGCCATCATCAGTCTCAAAACATTTGCTTTCTGCTTGAGCCCTTGGGATCAGCTCCTCATTTTTCCCCTCTCTCCCTGGACCCCTCCCCCACAAACCCTTGATAATTTATAAATTATTATTATTGAGACACAATTCCTATCCACAATGGGCGTCTTTTCGTCCTGTGTTGTTTCTGTACAGGATCTACATATGTAGGAAGAAAAGGGAAGAGTGGCGTTTAAGACCGTCACTGCAGCTGCTGTAAGCTTTGAAGAGAATAATTTCTCTCTAGGGAAGTGGATTTCTTTCTATCTGGGAAAGTGCCTTTCTTCTTCTTCTTATTTTTTAATCATTTTATTGGGGGTTCATACAACTCTTATCACAATCCATCCATCCATCCATTGTGTCAAGCACATTGATACATTAGTTGCCCTCATCATTCTCAAAACATTTGCTCTCCACTTAAGCCCTTGGCATCAGCTCCTCATTTTCCCCCTCCCTCCCCGCTGCCCCCTCCCTCATGAACCCTTGATAATTTATAAATTATTATTCTGTCATATCTTACCCTGTCCGACATCTCACTTCACCCACTTTTCTGTTGTACATCCTCCAGGGAGGAGGCTATATGTAGATCCTTGTCATCGGTTCCCCCTTTGTAATTTTCTTCATTGTTGTTTGTGTTAGTCTGGGTAGACTAGAGAAATAAATCCATAGAAATGCATATGTGTATAAGATACAGTTTTATATAAAGGGTAATTGTACATTAAAAAAGCATTCCAACCCAGGCCAGATCAAGTCCATCAGTCTGATATTAGCCAATATGTCTGATACCAATCTATAAAGTCCTTCTCAGACTCAAAAACACATGCAATGACGTCGAATGCAGGATGATCACAAGCCAGTGGGTAGAAAGTCTTTGGATCCAGTGGCGTTGTAAGCATCTCAGCGCTGGCAGGGGTCTCCACATGGCTCCTCTAGCTCCCAGGGCACAGGGTCTGTCAACATAGTGCCGTGTGTCTGGTCGGTAGAGTGTCTCCATGTGTCTGGTCAGTAGAGCGTGTCCATGTGTCTGGTCAGTAGAGTGTGTCCAAGGGAGTGTCTTGAGAGTCTCTCCCACCTCTAGGGAGGAAAAACCAGATTTCCCAGAATTCTCAGGAGAGGCCATGCCCACACAGAGGCCTCATTGGCTATGATCCGATTGACAGACTAAAGTCCACCCCTACACTCAATCCTCAAACTGACAAATGATTATATCCCTACCACATTGTTTTGGTGTTTACTAAATTTTTCTAATTTTCCTTTTTAATTTCAATATGTTTTAGTCATTTTCTTTGAGGTTACCCTGAAATGTATTAGCTTCTTCCTGATTTAAAAAAAATACGTGTGCTATCTTGAAATACATTTAATTTCCTCCTCATATGAAAGTTCTGTAACTATATTATCCCTTATTTTTACTTTGTAATTCTCTTTTATAATTCGATGTCTCTGGTTCATGAAACCCTTCTTCTTTTTCCTACTGTGGAAACCTGCTGGGAGCCATTGGTCCTACTCTGACTCCCATTGCTGCATGGCATCCGGAATTATCCCACTGTTCCACTGGAGCTCCATTTCACTTCAATAGACAGCCTTCTATCATCTCTTTGTTTCTTCCTTCATCCACCTCCCCTCTTTTCTTTGTTTCCCTTCCCACCCTTACCCAGAGCCAACCAACAAATCCCCACCACCACCAAACAACGAACAGTGAAGAACCCCTTTCGATTTTCACGCAGTCTGCCCGTCTCTTTTCGTTCCTTGGGGTTTTCCAGACCCCCTCGGTCTCCACATCACACCGTCTCCTCCAAAAGACTCACCTATAAATATTACTCGGAATTTCTTTTCCTCCCTGCGGTGACACATGGTTTAGGTCTGGCTGACAATGCAGGCTAGTAGCACAAAGGGACCTGACTAAACTGAGAAAGCAGAAAAGGAAAGCATTGGTGAGAAAGTATAATGTGTGTGAGGCTCTTAGCTAGGCCTAAGGAGGTTGGAAAGAATATTCCAAGTGGCAAAGTAACGTGCAAAGGTGGGGAGAAGGCTGGAAAAATGGAAGGGGCCAGCATGGCTAGATCCTAAAGAGCAGAGGAGAAAGTAGAGGATGAGATAAGCAGGGGCCAGATCACCTGGGACACGTTACAGAACATGCTGCTTCCATTTTTAGGTTGCTGGCCTTTCCCTGCCCAAAGAGACGAGGCTGTCTGCTCCAGGAAAGACGTAGAGCCCTGGAAACTCTCTCTCAGAGCTTTGGGACACAGCATCAACTCAGCGACAATGGGTTTGGGTTTGGATGGCTTTTCTTTCAAAACAAAATGACTTCATGAATTGTTTTTTCTAAACTTTGAGTTTATTGATATATGAAACAGAAACAATCATGCCAAAGTTGGCAAACTCTTACAGACATACGCATGCACACACACATACACACACACACCCAAACCAAAATACACAACTTCCATGAGGACCATATAATTTGGCATGATTAAGAAATCGATCCCATAGCGGATTTTCATGATTTGGATCAGCCCAAGTAATCAGCAGAACATGATCTTCATATTAATTTGTCCTCCACAGGAAAAGGAGGCGCTGCTTGGACTATGGGGGATTCTTGAAGAGCTCTTAAAAATGTTGCTTGCCTGCAGCACTTGAATCCTCTTTCAGTTTCAGGGTTTGTATCTGTCCAGCTGACACACCCATTTTCCCTAAAGAGTAAAGACTTCTTGTTCCACCTTGTGCCCTACCATTGGCAAAGGCATGGCAGGAATAAATCTGTGCTTTGTTTACCACCAGGGTAAACTGCCCCACATACTTGGAGAAAGGCATCTATTTGGGATACAGTATACACCCATGCATTTACAAATACTGAAAATGACATACATATATGTTGGGGCTCCAAAAAGTTTGGGGAAAATGCAGTGACAAGATAACGGGGTTTTTTCCATGAACTTTTTGAAGCCCACTTGTAAATTGTAGACATTGTGGCTACTGCTTCCTGCCAATATTAATCTGGTTCTTAAAAGGTTTACACATCCGAGTAGAGCCATGTATTCATGATCATGCTCATTCTGTAAGTTAAAAAAATAAATTATTTTGATTTCTTTTCCACCCTACATTTTTTCCTTCACTCGCACTTTTCAATTACTACTAACCATGCTTTAAAGCTGTCTTTTTATTGAAAGCAATAAATTAAGACATTAATCTTTAGGTCGTTTCACTTCCGTATAAGAATCACCAGCAAATACATGAACATGCTCACAGTGGTGGGTCTACAGGAATGCAACTGAGTAGCCATAATACTCATGACCTTAGAAAGCAAGCATCTCATGTACAGTTACGTGCTAGTCTTACACAACTGAAACTCGCCATACAATATAATACTTTAAAGTTAAGATAATTCGGAGAAACATTATCCAAACGACGCCACCGGTCGTTTGCTGAGACTGCGCTTGCAGGAGGTGCTAAGAGTGTGTCCGATCATCCTGTGAGGCAACACTTAGGGTGGAAACTTGGCAACTGGTATCAGCAGCTTCATAGGACTTTTGATCTTTGGCAAAGTTGATGAAAACCTAATATTTCAAGAGAAATAAAACAGTTAGTGTTTGGCAAATAAAGGAAGAAATAAGATTAATTACACACAGACACAAAAGAAGAGCAAATACGTCGCACACTGGGCTTTATAGGGCCATGGTAGACGTGCGCAGTAGGAGTCTTTTCGGATACTCAAACTTAACTAGTGTTTGAAAAATAATATTTCTACCTGTGGGCATAAGTATGTCTACAATCATACAATAAATCTAAAATAAAAAGTCCATTGACATCAAATTGATTTCTCGTAGCCGGCCCACAGGACAGAGTCGAACTACGACGAAGGGTTTCTGAGATGATAGATCTTTACAGGAACAGACAGCCTCATCTTCTGTCCACAGAGTCACTAGCGGGTTTGAATCTCTGACCATTCTTCAGCAGCACAATGAGTAACTCACTGCACCACCATATCTACAGCCAGCTAGCTACATCCATATGCCCTACATCAGTCTGTCTCTCTACCAACGATGGACAAAAAGCTCAATCTCACTCACTCTGCCGTCGGGTCAGTTCTGATTCATAGCGACCTTATTGGACAGAACAGAATGGCCCTTGTGGTGTTCCAACACTGCAACTCTTTCCAGGAATAGAAAGCCTCATCTTTCCCTCAAGGAGCTGCTGGTGGTTTCAAACTGCTGAACTAGTGGGAACTGTTTGCTTGAGAATGATGAGAGAAATTTCACTAGTTTCAATTTAATACACTAAAAAAAAAAAACACTAGCACAGAAAGCCAGCTAATCATGAAACAGGCAGACCTATGTTCCTTTGTTTAAAATCATTTTATCTATTAATCATAGATTTATTAAAAAAAAAGATTCACGGAGGCTTTATTCTATGCCAGGGCTGGTGCTCCTGGTTGGCCACAAGTAAAAACCTTTTAGATAGGAAAGGATGGAAACTTGGAGGTGGCCACTAACTTTTTTCTGTTATAGCACCAACTTTTCAAGACTCCTATTAAAATGCATAAAACTTCCATTAAAAGTCTGCTCATGCATGCCTGTACCATGCACTGACTCACTTAGAGGCCCTTCGCGTCACAGTTGCAGACCCATTCAATGATGGATGCAAAATATTCTATATGTCGGTTGGTTGAGCCATAAAAATTAAAACACCGCAAAGGTGAAGAAGGAAGAACTTCCAAGCCTCTAGTTGCTGAATGTCAATATAATTAAGGCAGATGATTCAAATAAAACAAAAGAATCCTGCATTTGCCTCCTTTGCTGATAGAATTGAGCAAATCTAAAGATCTGGCACTAAATTCCCTCTAAATATTCCGATGCTGTGCTAATCCACAGAAATGTTCCGTCAGGCCTCCATGGGGGAGAAAGTAAGAAACGTGGGAATAGTTCCTTTGTAGCGGTGGTAATATGTTTTGTTTTACACACATACATAGTCTGATGGACATCAATGTCACGTGGAAGAGAAATAGCTGCATCTCTTCATTAACAATGCTAATACTTTTCACATATGTTTTAAAGCCCCAATGCAGCTAGAAATAAATTAAGCTTTTTGCTAAATTTTGCAGGTGCAAGATTAGCGATTGCTTCGGTGAAAAACAAATTGAATGTCATTAAAAAGAAAACAGCAGAATGCATAATGCAAGAAGATGTGACATTGTATAAGTAGCCTCAGATTTACAACATCTGAGTTATGAGAAGCCACACTTATGATGGTTTCTTTACTGGCTTTGTACATTTCATCGTTAATAGTAAGTACTACATAAAATATTGTAGTGCCTAATTTGCTGATGTTATCATTCTCAGAAGTTTATTCAGAGATGTTGATGTTCAAAGTTGAAGAGCTCTTAAAAATGTTGCTTGCCTGCAGCACTTGAATCCTCTTTCAGTTTCAGGGTTTGTATCTGTCCAGCTGACACACCCATTTTCCCTAAAGAGTAAAGACTTCTTGTTCCACCTTGTGCCCTACCATTGGCAAAGGCATGGCAGGAATAAATCTGTGCTTTGTTTACCACCAGGGTAAACTGCCCCACATACTTGGAGAAAGGCATCTATTTGGGATACAGTATACACCCATGCATTTACAAATACTGAAAATGACATACATATATGTTGGGGCTCCAAAAAGTTTGGGGAAAATGCAGTGACAAGATAACGGG